GGTGATAAGTTTGAAATCTAAATGAGATGAATTCTCTGAAACAATAGTCCATATAGTCTCAAGACATAGGAAACCTGAATTTATTAATGCCACTGAAAAGGTTATAACAATTAGCTCCAAAGTCAGCTGCAGAGACAGATGTTTTACGAATGAAGTCTTCCAAATTTTCTAAAGACATGGATAATTTATAAATATTATTAGAACATAGAAAATGGGAAATTATAAAACTTTCAATTTTATAAATCTACAATAGTGTAATGAGATCAAAACCTGAGAAATTTAACAAGAAAAAGAAAATACCAGACCAATCTCACTTATAAATAGGGAAACAAAAACCTTAAGTAAAAAAAGTAAAAAAAACAAAGATAAAATAAATAAAACAACACTTGAACAACTTATCCCAGAAGTACAAAGGTCATTTAATACTGGGAAATCTATTAATGTAATGCATCACTGAAGAAGGGTAGAGTGAGTAAAAAAATAGTGGTCATTGTGGTTTCTTTTACAAAAAGAAGTATAAGTATGTCATTGACAGATCTCACCAATCTTTTTGTTTTGTTTTTGTAAGCAGTATATACATGAATAGCTGTCTTAAACCCATTGTGACTTTTAACAAGCGACTTCAATTTATTTATATTTTTTCACTGTATGATTTTCTTAAATGTTTTCCGTACTTTTTTTTTTTAAGATTTTATTTCTTTATAGAGAGGGGAATGAGGGAGAAAGAGAGGGAGAGAAACATCAGTGTATGGTTGGCTCTCGAGCTCCCCCTCCTGGGGACATGGCCAGCAACCCTTTAGTTCACAGGTTTTTGCTCAGTCCACTGAGGCACACCAACCAGGGCACTACCAGTATAATTAATCTTACCTTACTGTTTTTCTTTCCTCCTGTTTGGTTCCCTGCTGTTTCTTTGGGGTGGGGGGCGGGGGGAGGTTTTGTTTTGTTTTTTTTTAATGTCAAAGTGTTTGCTTTTTCTTCTCCATTGATTTGCTAAGGTGTATATTCAGTTTTAATGCTTTTCATGGTTATTTTTCAGTTATTAAAAAAACTTTTTAATCCATATTTCTAGCATATCAATACTTAAACAAATCTCATTTCCCCCCTCCTATATATAAAATGAAGAATGTTCTATACTTCATATCTCTTCATTGCTTTATGTATAGTTACTTGAATCATATCTGTGGTTTTGGACACTGGCTATTTATATTATTTAGATCTATTTCTAATTTTAACTGCTTTTAGTGGTTTTAACAGATTTTATTTTATGATGGTTTTTCCATTTTTTAAGGTTCTTATTTTGATTAATGGAGTTCAGTTGGATCATTAATTCAAGAAGTTCTGTGAGGGAGGATACACAGAATCACTTTTTCTGAGCTCTTATATATTATAATGATATATTTGTGGGCCTTCAGACTTTTAAAAAAATTGAGGGTATTTTATTAATGATTTCTCTCTTAAAACTCTGAACATTTAATATTGCAAAGAAATCCAAAGTTGCATTTTTGTCTTTAGGTTATTTAGTTTTCCTCCTTGAATGATTTTAGAAATTGTGCTCTATCCATGTAATTAAGATTTATCTAAGATTTTTCAAGCTATAATACTTTCTTCATTGATATTGCCTGACATTTTGTGATCCAAAAGTTGACTTTTCATTCAAGAAAGTTTTCTTCAGCTTCATCTTTACTTATTCTTTCCATTTCTTTTTTTATCCTTAAGAACAGCGGCATTTTTCTGTCCTATAGTATCATATTTCTAACAGTTTTTATTTCTATCTTTTACTCTATATTCTGGACATCTTCTAAAGTTTGTATTCTAGCCCTGGGTGGTGTGGCTCTGGTGGTTGGAGCTTTGTCCCATAGACCTAAAGGTCATGGGTCCATGTGATCCCCTATAGGGGGGTGTACAAGTAGGCAACCCTCGATGTTTCTCATTCTCACATTGATATTTCCCTCTCTCTCTGCACTACCCCCCCCCCCCCCGCCTTCCTCTCTCTAAAAGCAATAAAAAAGTGCCCTCGGGTGAGGATTAAAAAGAATTAAAGTGGTATTCTATACTACTGTTATTTTTACTCTTGTTGCCTCCAGTGTGTTTTTAATTTTTAATTTTTTTTCGTCTTGGTCTGTCCTCTGACTTTTTATTTAACAATAGGAGGCCTTCATATATTCTACTGATGCCAAATAGTTTTCTAAAATTTTGTTTATGATTTTATTTTTAAGTGACTTTCCTCTCTGAATCATCAGAATGCTGTTCCCCAGGAATGTTGGCCCAAAAACAATAAATGTAAATTGTCCATGGCCCTACGTTTTTTCAGCTCGAGTCATCTTTGATCTACAGCTGTACAATTTCTTACATATCTTTCTTAGCTCAATTTCCAGAGTTTTTAATGGGGTTTTCTGCTCCTTATTGCTTGGTTGTATGCTATTCTGAACAGGTGAGCATTTGAAAAATGATAGCTTCAGACTCAGATACTCACTTCTAACATAAGTCCCTACCATCTGTCCCATAGAAATTGTTTTACATGGGATTACCCTTTTTTCCTTTCATTCCTTCCTTCCTCCCTCTGTCCCTCCCCCTCCCTTCTTCCTTCCTCTTGTCCTTCCTTTCTCCATCTCCCCCTCCCCCTCTTCTTATTCTTTCCTTCCCTCCACTCCCCCTCCGCCACCCCCTTTCCATGATGTAGTTCACTGCCACTTCTTGCCAAGTTCTTTTCTGGGAAATTTAACTATATCAAGAAACAAAGTGGTGATGGAGTGAAAGGGGCAACAGAATATATCACTGTCTGCTGTCTCTAAAAACAGCACCAATACAGTAAAGAAACAGCTGCATGGTTTTCTAGTAGTATGTTTCTGAGAAGAAAATAGTGAGAGAGCAGCGAAGATCTTCATATCTGCTTGCATATGGCTTGTTCTCTCTCACAGGGCAACTGGTGGGTATTTTTTATTTCTGTCCCATTGGCTTGCAGTACCTCAATTTATTTATTCATTCATTCTTTTCAACGAGTACTTACTGAGCCTTTTTATTATGTGCCAGGCACTTTGCTAGGTATTGTTTACATATAATGTTGAAAAAAACAATGTTACTTCTTTTATTGATGGCAGATATGGTTTCTGGACTTTGTCAGTAATACAGTATGATATTTTATTTTCCTGTTTTTTTTCTTAAAAATGTAAGTTGATACAGCATGTATTAATAACTGTAGTATAGATAACAGTTGAAATCCTTTCTCCGTGTCCATTTTTTAAGTTGCTTGGGATCCAGGAAATAATATTTATAAGTAGTCATTACTATCCTGACCTTGAAGTTATTACTTCCCCAAAACCTCTCATCACAATTCACTACTGTCCTTACCTTAAATTTTCTTAACTTTCTTAGATGAGTACAGTTATACCAATGAAATTATCATGTTTTATATGATGGCATGATAGCATTTTAGCTTACCTTAGGGTTTTCTTTATATCTATTTGAAACTTAAGTGATAAAGCTACATTAAGTGAGAATAGATGAAGAATTTGGTCCTTTTTCAAATTATTATCTGATGTTTATTATTAAAAATAAAATTTAAGGGATTTTTCTTACCACCTTGTATATAAGGAAACAGGTAATTTTTTTATGGTTCTTGTTTTTAGAGAAAATTTATTATAGAGTGTTTTATGCTTATTAATGCTTCCAGTAAATGTTAATGAGTTTTTAAACAAAACAAAAAAAAATCACAAATTTAGTGCATAGACAAGAGGAAGCACAAAATACACATAGACCTATAAGTGTGAAATGTAATGAGTAAAGCAGTTTTTTAATTCTAGTGAGTAAACTGTAAGAGCAAGATAGAATAGTGACATAATTTGGAGAGCTAACATGTTTATTATATAATCTGTAACTGGACCTAGCAATTATAAGTCATATCTCATTTTAATTTCCTAGACTGCTTATTATTAAGAGAGAAAAAAGTTTTCTATGGTTTGGGCAGAATTACATTTATAAGATTGTAGTTATCCTAAGGGTAAAGATAGATGTAAATTACTTTGTGCCACAGAATGTTATAGTTAAAAAGGTTTACCCAAACTGATGTGGCCCAGTGGATTGAGTGCCGGCCTGCAAACCAAAGGGTTGCTGGTTCAGTTTCCAGTCGAGGGTACGTACCTCGTGGGTTCGCAGCCTAGGGTACGTACCTTGGTTGCTGCCTGGGTCCCCAGGTTGGGGTGTGAGAGGCAACCACACATTAATGTTTCTTCTCCCTCTTTTTCTTCCTCCCTTCCCTTCTCTAAAAGTAAATAAATAAAATCTTTTAAAAAAAAGTTTTGTTGCTTTTGATGAAGATAGAATCCTTAGGGAGAAACATAGTATCTTTCTTAGCCTGTAATAAGATTAAATTTGTTTTAAAGGTAGTGGTCAGGATTTGGAAGTATTTTCATGTTAGCTATACCAGTCGCAGCCAGTTTGTTCACACCTGGGGTTTATTGTGTTAAATTTGTTGTTGTCTATGGGAGAACAACTTCTTCAGGTATAGCGTAGTTGTTCACAGCTCTTTCACATAGGGATTGTCTTCTGTCTCTCTCCCCTCACTATACCTACTATCTGCAAAGAGATCCCATAACCCTCATTTACATGCTGTCTTTATCTGAAAATCAAGCTCAGAGAATTTGCTGTTTGTATTGATCCTTCAGTTATCATGCTAGTCTGACAGCATTTTACATCACATTGCGGTAAGAAACATGGCTAATTGGTGCATTCTAGTTATTTCAGAATGAAAGTATTATAGATTAGCATTGCTGAAAGATTTAAGTTTATGTCCATTGGACACTTGCCTTAGTACTAAGTTTGATCTGTTTCCTACAGGTTTGATATTCCAAATTTGTTTTGATTATATGTGTTGTACATGAATAAAGGAATCCTTGACATATTTTCTGAAAACTTGTAAAACAATGAAGTTTATATAATATATAACTTTAATTTTAAACTCATAAACTTTGTATGCTTATAATAATTGATATGCTTGTTTATAGGGGCCACCTACAGATGCTCCTGCAGTGGACACAGCAGAACAAGTTTATATTTCTTCTCTGGCACTGTTAAAAGTAAGTATTAAATGGAGTAATTTACTTTAAGAGAGCTTTGCTGCTTTTACTGTATCTTTTACTTTGGAATATTTGTCATCTTTACCCTCTTGGGCATAAGCTGTTGTTTTAGGTACATCAATAAAACAGAGTGTTTTGTTTTCACTGAAACAAAATTCAGTTCTCAATTGGGAAAAAAAAAAAAAAGACAAAGATCTCAAAGCTTTGTGTCCATGTATCTTCCTCTTGCAGATGTTAAAACATGGCCGTGCTGGAGTTCCAATGGAAGTCATGGGCCTGATGCTTGGAGAATTTGTTGACGATTACACCGTCAGAGTGATTGATGTGTTTGCTATGCCACAGTCAGGGACAGTGAGTACTTTTATGGTTGCCTGCTGCAAGTAAATGTGTTTCTTTTCTCTTTTCTTTTTCTTTGCAAAATAACTTTCATTATATTACATTTTCTATTTCTGACAGGGAAAATTCATCATAAGATTAATGATAGAGATTTCTAGATTGTATTGAATTAAATCATTTATGCTTTAAGTGCCTCATTCCCTGTAGGTGCACATACTGAACGGTGCTAACATGAAATACCTTTACTCAAACCTTCAGCTTAAACTAGCATAGTGTACTTGGTTTATAAAGTTAGTTACCCTAAAATAGTAGGATATTAGCTTGATTAGTTTGAACACTTCAGGTTCAAAAGGTTTTAGACTCTTAATTAGATTTTAATTTACATTGTCTAGTACTCATGTTTTGGTTCCATTGTTTTTGAAATATGGCCTCTTTTTTAAATGTGCCATATATGGTGATAAATGATTCTTAATTAAGCTTCTATTCAAAATGTTACCTTTTAAAAAAAGAGAGAAAACACTATGGCAAACTTTAGTGCTTTTGCCCAGGTATGGTAATTTGTTTATAGAAGAAACATACTCATATGGATTTTGAAAGTCATCTACTCTGTCTGTTTAGAATTATTGTTCTTTCTGGAACAGTGAGGTTTTTTGTTTTGTTTTTATTACACAGTGATTTTGTGTAATGCATTGGACTTGTATACATAAATATGTATTTCAATTTAAAGAAAATGGCCAAAACACAGTAACCATTCTATCTGCCTTCCATAAAACAGCAAATATACTTCTCATCTGTTTACCTAGAAAAATATAATATGTATATCTTTATGATGGATTTTTTTCTCTACTATGCAATCTTTTTCTTATTGGACCTTGTAAAATATCTGAGTTAAAGAAATTGTTTTCATAAAACTTCCTGTTTGAGGCTCTTTACTGTAAGTATGTTTTGATAAGTAGATGCTAAAGAAAAAAAATTTTGTTTTTCAGCAATGCAACATGTAGTTGCTATAGAATGTGGTTTATTTGTAAATAATGCATAATATAGAAAAATATGCCATTTTCTCTAGTCCAGTTTGTTGAGGTAAACTAATTTGGATCTGCTGATTTTTGTCCTGAATTTCCATTGTATTTATTTTGTACATTGGACATAGAGAAATGCACTACATATTAACTAAAGATTTAGATTTGAATCTTAAACTATTATATCTTTTCATGTCAGAATATATAAAACACATAAAATTAACTATTATTTCTGTTACATGTGATTCTTATATGCTTATTCATTATAACAAAGGGATCTTAAGCTTTAATATTACTTATGTGTAAAAACTTGTTTGACAATATAAAATAGATTTTCACCCCCATATTTACTGTGTGTAGAATTTAAAGTTTTTCTTCTGGCCCAAGAGTTAGCAGACTTTTTCTGTAAAGACATATGTCTCTGTCTCATATTCTTTTTTTTCTTTAAACAATCCTTTGAAGATGTAAAAATAAATAAATAAATAAACCTTTCTTAGCCTGTAGGCAGCAGATTGCATACCCCTGTTCTTGAGGGTGCACTCTCAATTAGAATTCAAAATGCTGTTTGTTTTGGTGGGAAGACAGTGTTTGTGTTACCTGGTTTAAGTAGATTAGACTTAAATTTCTGATGTCAGAAGAAAGCCTTGTGGGAGTCATAATGTCAGTGATCTGTCACTGAAGAGATGATTAGAATGCCTTTGATAGTTATATATCCTAAAATCTTTTGATTGAACTAGAAAAATAATACATTTAAAAGAATTGGCTATAGAGTGTCTCAAGTGGAGAATTATTTTGTGAATGCATTTATATTTGAGATAATATTCAACAGTATATACTTCCCTCCAACTACCTAATCTACCATGTCATTCTAACTGCAGCACTAAACTTCTTCCCCTTCCAACCCACCCACCCACCTACCTGCAAAACAGCTCTGGGAAACTAATAAATTAATTTAAGTGTTTATGTTACTGAGAAAAAAAGTTGAAACTGTTGTTTATTATAATAGCTGAATAGTAGAGCTTTGGGTGAGATGCTTTGGGTATTAGGAAGCACACTTCCTAGATAGGTCCAACCCAAAAAGAATTAATTCAGTTATTTGGTATTTCTGATATTTACGCACACAGCACACACATAAATGTACATATATACATAGTCATGACCATAAACTCTTTTTTTCTTTTAATTTTATTTTATCATGGCCAAATAAACTCTTAAATGGTCTTGAAATTTGTCTTAACTCATTAGCTAACTGCAGTTTGTAGGTGGCAATTTTAGAAGCTTTATTAATGTATGGATTATAATTGAATAACAAGAGCGAGTATCAAAACTTATAAAATTATTTTGATAGCACAGAATAATATACCTAGGTTATTTTGGGTAGCTTTTTTTAATATACATTGTAATATGAAGGGGTTTTTTTGTAGTTATAAAAGCTAATTATTTCTCTTTCTTTTTAAACCAGGGTGTCAGTGTGGAGGCAGTTGATCCAGTATTCCAAGCCAAAATGTTAGATATGCTGAAGCAGACAGGAAGGTAAGAATTTTAAATGATCATATAAGGGAACAATGGGAAATATTTTCAGAAGCGTATCTCAAAAATTTTGGATGTTTTTGGGTATCATTCCTAGGGGAAAAAAAGCCATGTAGTTAATGTAAAAGTATCACTGTCGGTGCTACATACCACCTATCTAGTCTCTCTTCCATCTAGAATCAAAGAAATGTGCCAATCAGAAAACTGCTTCATGTTAAAATTCTCAACTATCACATAGTAAGCTTGTGCTATAGCTTCCCTCTGTTTAGCATATGGAGTTACTCTCTACTCACTTGTACTTGAAAGAGAATGTATATTCTGTGTATTTCAGAGTTGTAAACGAATAAGATTCTGAATATTTAATTACATTTATAGGCTTAAGAGTTTTAAAGACAGGGCAAATAGACGTCACATATTCTTTAAGTTTTTCTCCCCAGATTAGACCTCTCAATAGTTGTCATTCTCTTGCTCAAATTCTTCTACTGTGGAAAAAACTTCAAAATTAATGTTAGCAAAAAGCTCAGCAGCTGAGCAGAACAGTGCAAATTGGTTTTTGACTGAGTTCCTAGTTCTACTGCTGGTTTAATTGATATTTAATCCTTTCACAACAGTGGATCCTGGTGTCCATTGTTAAAAATATACTCTGCCTGGAAAATCCAACTCCCAGAGCTAAGGAGTTAAAGAGTAGATATTTACTTGAATGCTGAAAGGGTAAAAACTGGCTCTGAGAAAGTGTGGTAACAAGGTGAAAAACTGAAAGCCTTATCTACCACTGCTAATGTGCGTCTCTTAATGATAGCACTTCTTTGTCACACTTACTCGTTTCCATGTTTTGTGGGTAAAATGGTGTATGATTTCAGTGTTTCTAATGGTGCTTTTTCACACCTGTGTGTTTATCATCTCTTCTTAATTTATACCCTGTTAGTGTGTTGGTTCTTTTCTTATCATAAATGTATTACTTGTTCTGTTCTGAATAGCGGAATGCCCTCTTTGTTTCAGGCCTGAGATGGTTGTTGGTTGGTATCACAGTCACCCTGGCTTTGGTTGTTGGCTTTCTGGTGTGGATATCAACACTCAGCAGAGCTTTGAAGCCTTGTCGGAGAGAGCTGTGGCAGTGGTTGTGGATCCCATTCAGAGTGTCAAAGGAAAGGTAGAGTAGATTCTATCTTTATTAGCATCTACTGCCACATTCTGTTTGCAGCATTAAATAAAAAATCTATTATCTTTAAAGCAGAATTCTTAACTACACAAAAACCCGTTTACTTTTTTAAAAAAGACTCTATAAGTCGATAAATATATTATTGGTATTATTAGAGATTTGTTTCTACTTTTATCAGCTATTGTCTGATCATAAATGTTTATCTTTAAATTTTTCATTTCATAGATTTAGGAATGTTAAACCATAATAAAAGCCTGCCATGTACATTTCATTAATATTTTAATAAGCATTACTCTACCTTCCTTTATTTTAAAATGGAGAATTTGGGATTGGCACATTTTAAAAATCTAGTTAAAGAGCTCTGTTTTGCAGACATTGTGCAGGACATATTCTGTAGCTGTATATTCCAAATATTTTAGACAATGAAAACTTGCCCCAAAGACTTGGTATAAATCATTCGCTTTTTTGGAGTGAGGACACATGAATGATTAAATATGCTAAATGATTTTGAAAAGAGATTAACTTGCAAAGCATATTGGGTTATAGTTGTTCTTTGTTGAAATCTTTTGTTCTTGTTTAGTTCTTTTTTTTTTCTTTTTTGTTTGTTCGTTCTTTCTTTTTTTTATTTCTTTCTTTCTAGCCCCATATGCCATTTTCCTATTTCCTGCCTCATGACAGCAGGGAGCAGCTCTATTATCACCTTCACAGAGCTGTCTGCAAATGTGAGAGGCAATTCGATTTTGCTCAACCACAGGGAGAGTGGATTAGAAAAACTACAGAACATACAGAAATTGGCTAGGTGGTTACTGCTTTAAAATACTGCTGAGGTGTCTTGTTTGAGCATGTATTTCCATTGTAGTGTAGAATAATTGTTAAAATAAAATCACAATACATTTATGGAATCCTTTTTATGCAGCTTTTACAAATTATTTTTAGAGCACTTAAAAGTAAATATTAGCTTGCTATCTATCAGACCTGGAGTTTGATAGTATTGCAGATTACATTAACATCTGCTCACCAGCTCAAACAAACTAATCTGGCCGTTAAAATGTGGAGTTTTTATCTGCCATGAATTTGAAGTTAAACACTTTCTGACATCACATTATTATGATGAATAAAAATTGAGGTCTTCTCTAAATCATGATCCTATTAGATGTGATTTAGCTTTTTAGAGGCAGAAACTAACCACCAAAACAATAATAGCTGATACACTAGGCAATTCAGAATGGATAGCTTCTGATGCTTGCTATATGCTTGTATTTCAATTTATTTACTTTTTTTTTTTTTTTTACTAAGTGTATTATTTAAATGATGGATAAAAAGATTTGAAAATCCTTTGTTTTTGTTTTGAGTTTTCTGAATTAAAGGACAGAATAAAACTTCTTAAGTTTAATTCTCTGATAATTACTGTACCTTCTTAGTTACTTATCTAATTAGTAACATTTCTTATTTTAGAAGTGTAAGAAATACCTGATTAAGTTTCCCTACCACAATATTTACAAGTAATAATTGACACCTCATTTTACATATAGAGTTTTATTTTGTGTTAGTGTGACAGATTTTTTATGATACTTGGCTCTTGTGAGGGTGACCACTTTGAAAAAAATATATAAACTTACATACAATAAAATAAAGCATCCTTAAAATAGAATGTAAATAATGAATATGTATTTTATTTTTGGTTATCTTGTTTATAGTTTTCTAAATGGCAGTTTTAGTTTTCAAGCCTAGTTTAAGTATTATACAACATTGGGATTTTCATTGTTTGTTTATAATTAAATATAATTCATATTAAAAGAATGTGTTGCATTTAAAAATGCCCTTGTATCATATGACTGCTCTCATGTGGTAAAATGTATTATTTAAAAAAATATACCTAAAATTATGAAATCACATGTATTACTGTCTAATTTTTGTCATAAAATATTTTTAAAAATTTTAGTATAAATATGTATCATTGATAATTCACATAACTTGTATCTAACATACAGATTTTTACAATTCTGTTACCTGAAATAGTATCTAATTCTTTGTTAATTATATGACCTCATCTATAAGGTTCCAAGTATGGTTCTAACTTAAGATTTTCAGTCTCAAGACCTCTCAGAACAATGAACCAAATTAAATGTTTGTAAATCCATGGCCAGTTAATTCATTAAACTTAAGAATATAAACTTGTAAAAACTGAATAACATAAGACTATGCCTTCTTCTTCCTTGCAGTGCTTTCTCAAAGCTGTCAAAATATTTAGTAAGGCAATGGGTGGGTCAAAAATTAAAAATGGCAGTCTATATGTAAATGATTTAAGTTGGGTTTCTGTTTACTACATAGCTCTTTCCTGTATATTTTTGTATTTCCATTTTTATAAATCCCAATATTATCTCTCTGTTTTTGGGTAATAAAATAGGGTAATAAAATAAGCATGCATTCTTTCTTTATAATCACAATTAATTCATAATGTGTTATTTCCTTTTATGTGACTTGACTGTATCTTTATGGAATTGTTGCTATGTACCAGGTATTACAGTGATAGTTATTTTAAGTTGTCTCATTTATTCTTTTCAGTAATTCTGCAGATAGACACTATTCTTTTTCCATTTTATCAATGAAAAGGTACAACAGTTAGAGTGAAAGAGATTACTTTGCCCAAATCATACCATTTTTAAGCAGCAGGAAAAGGATGCAAATCTAAATTTATAAAATTTGAGAGCTCAAGCTGTTTTATTGGCTCTTTAAAATTAGGCAGTTATGAATGATATCATTGGAGTAACTCAGGAATGGAAGATGTAGAGGTCATTGCAGGGCCTTTCTTAACTTACATGGATAGGTATCACTCCCTTCTGCATATGTCAAGGGAAGAAGCTACACATTTTCTCATATGTTTTCAATAGTTCTCTGTAGTACTTATGGTAAGAATTATATATTAATCTTTTCTCATGTAGTATTTGTTCTGTTAATTTTAAAAAACAGTTTAGACTCATCCCTGTCAGCTTTTGTGACATACTGAGAAAAACATTGAGACCAACATAAATAATAAAATATACACTATGATAAAGAATCTGTATCACTCCATATATTATATGATCTTATAAATGTTTAAAAATGATATTGGTGAAAATCAATTATAATAATACTCATAATTTAAATGGAGAGTTAGCACAGAGAAATTGCCAGCGAGCTATACTCTAAACCTACCAGTGAAGTAGTTTTTATGATTCTGTTTTAGTTTATTTGTAAAACACACATATTCAAATATTTAAACCTCAGTTCTCAAGTGGCATGGTGGCACCCCCTTTGCTTAATGTTTTTTATCTTGTATATTCAACCCACAACTTGGACTTGATCCAGCAGCGAATTTAGAAGTTAATTCAACTTGTAATATGACTATACTTCTTCCTTAGGGCATAAAAAATTACCACTTTGTGCAAAGTCATAAAACTAGCATGTAGTGATTACTACTTTTGAGAACTCATTTTCTTGTCAAGATTCCTGTCAGTAAAATGTTCAGATGTTACCTGCTAACTCCTAACAATCTCTGTGTTCTCTATTCTAAAAGCATTAAAAACAAACAAAAAAAACCCCACAAAAACACTAATAACCCTTTAGTCCAAATAAATCTTGATTTTCTTGAAAATGTGTTATTTAATGAGAAATACTCAGTGGACTTTTAAAAATGTGATGTTTATCTTCAGATCATTGCATCAGTAGGTATTTAGGTATATATACCTAATGTACCTGTATGCTAATGATTCTAGGGTGCAACATAAAGAAAAAATGGTCTTTGTCTCTTTGAGAAAATGAGTCATACACATTTGGTATTACTTGTGAGCCAGAAAACATTATGCCAATTATATGCCAATAATCCTACATTGCATACTGACAGAATACAAATTACACTGATATAGCTTTGTTTCTGTAAACTCAGTATTAAATTGGTTGCTAGAGACAGATGTAATTCAACAAATACTTATTTGGAAACTTCCAGGTCCCAATATGCAATAAAGTACTGCTTTTATAGCAAATACAGTAATTGAAAATTAAATTAGAAGAAGGAAGAAATGGATATAGGCTGCGCGAAGTAGATGAAGCATGGACTATGCTTTGAGGGATAGGCAGGACATCACTCAGAAAACTAGAGCTTGTACCTGGTGGGGAAGAATGTAGGAACTATTAATACCATTCCAGGCGGTACTTAATTCTTTCTTCATTCTTTCATAGATATATCAGAATGTAAAGTAAGTCGGTTTTGTTATTTTTTTTAATCAACATTTTACAAAAAAAGATAGGGCTCTGAGTAAATACCAGTATGAGAAAAAAGGATTAGGGAATGAATGTTATAACATCAAATATCTTGAAGGTTATGTGTTTTTGAGGCAAGTGGGCAAATACTGTGTTTACCAAGAAATTTTGTACTGGACAGTTTTAAGATGGTAGAAATTTAAAATTACTCAACTAATAGTTTTGTTTTACCTTTTTATTAAAAAAAAATCAGACCTGGTTGTTGTGGCTCAGTGGATTGAGTGCCAGCCTGAAAACCAAAAGGTTGCTAGTTCAATTCCTAGTCAGGGCACATGCCTGGGTTGTGGGCTGGTCCCTGGGTAAGGGGGTGTGAGAGGCAACCGATCTATGTGTCTCCCACACATCAATGTATTGCTGCCTCTCTTTTTCCCTCCCTTCCCCTCTCTCTAAAAACAAATAAATAAAATATTTTTAAAAAGAAATAATTTATTTAAAAAATCATAAAGGCAAGGAGGACATAGAATAATGAAGAACACAGGCTCTGGGGTCAGGACTGTATTAGAATCTCATTTTTGTATCTTCTTTACAGCATGACCTTGGGCAAGTTACCTAATATTCTTGGGCTTCAGATTTGTCAGCTATACAATGGATTTTAGTAACTATCATAATATTGTGAATATTATGAAATGATTTATGTAATGATTAACATGCACATGCCATAATAGGATGAGTGCAATAAATGACATTTTTAT